CCTATTGTGTTAGATGCCATACAGGCAAGTAACAAGGAGACAGCTCTTGTCCCAGAGAGCTCACTATATAGGTCTATGACAAGATGCAGCAGATGGGTAAGTCAAACAAAGAGGATGAAAAGGTAGGAGTAAAATAAGCCCCCTCTGTATAGTGGGCAGTGGTAAGCTGAGACTACTTATGACAAAAAATGGTCAAAAACTGGAAAGAAAATGTCACTGAAAAATTTCAAGTTATTTTCACTCCTCAGGTTTCAAAAAGGAGTGATTCTTTGTTTATTCAAATTTTTCCAGTGAAAAGTTACACTCGACATTCTCATTTACAAAGCTCCCCACTTTCCCTCCCTTTTTCTCCCCCCCCTTTGTAAATTCATTTTACACTGGAAAGCAGGGGTGGGGGGGAGGGGAAAGCAAAAAACCAAAAAACCCGAACACCATAAAGGCTACATTTTTCATATAGAAGAAATCATAATTTTGGGGCGGAACTGTTATGAAAATTTCCAATTTTGAAAAAGCCTGTTTTTTAACAACCACCAACAAAGACAACTACCAAGAAACCACAAGAACCCACATCCCCCCCACACACATCCAACAACCACAACACATTTTTCTTCAAAATATTTCAACCAGATCTACTTCCTTCTACATAAAATATGTTTGTTTTCATTGCTATTTTGCCTTTTAAATTTGCTACATCACCTGTCAAACCTTTTAATAGATTCATAGATTCATAGATTCTAGGACTGGAAGGGACCTCGAGAGGTCATCGAGTCCAGTCCCCTGCCCTCATGGCAGGACCAGATACTGTCTAGACCATCCCTGATAGACATTTATCTAACTTACTCTTAAATATCTCCAGAGATGGAGATTCCACAACGTCCCTAGGCAGTCTATTCCAGTGTTTAACCACCCTGACAGTTAGGAACTTTTTCCTAATGTCCAACCTAAACCTCCCTTGCTGCAGTTTAAGCCCATTGCTTCTTGTTCTATCCTTAGAGGCCAAGGTGAACAAATTTTCTCCCTCCTCCTTATGACACCCTTTTAGATACCTTAAAACTGCTATCATGCTGAGATTCATAGATTCATTAACCTAGGCTGCAAGGGCCGGGGCAGTCTACCTGTTACGTGTCCATACAGCACCTAACATGATGGCTCCCTACCTTAGATACTTATATTCCCCTCCTCCCATTACTGTAGTATCTGAGCATCTCACAGTCTTTAATGCGTTTATTTTCACAACACCCCTGTGAGTTAGGGGAGTGCTATTATCCCCATTAGAATAATAACAGGAGGGGATCATTCCTGGAGCTTTAGCTAGTGGATTGCCAACAGATGGTGCAAGTTACTCTCCTGTCTCCCTCACTTGGGCTTCCCTCTTGGGTTCAGGATCTTGGGGTATCAAGAAGACACAGCTTTGGTGGGTGAGATGGCTGTTACAGTAACCCTGGCCATTCTAAATGAGCATCATGTTTTCTTCCCACTGGTGGATTGTGTGCAATGGAGAAATAATAAAGAACTTTCTGTTGGTTCAGGCATCTGGCTATTTTTATTGTTGCTGCTCTTGTTCTAGGAAAGAACCAGACACAACACTGGAGATGAAGGTGGATGTTGGACTCTGGAGAATGTTTTTGTAATATCATTTATTTGGAATAAGTAACCAAGGTGCAGCACCTCCTGACAGGGAATGCCATTCAGACCAGTCTTGTTTCAGGCTGAGGTAGAGGCATCTATCATGTAAATTAATTCTGAACCATGTCAGCAGGTTGCATATACTGAAGGGATAATGTGTGGATGATATATTTCATTACCCTAATCCTTATTTATCTACTTCAACATTTTAAAAAAAAAAACCAAGGCGTTCTAGTGGTAATTGACAAATGTCTGTACAATAGAAGGACATGATTATCCAAGGGGCTCAGGAGACACCCGAATACATTGGATAATCAGGAGCCATTGGTTTAGCTAGGGACCAGGGGGCAGCACTACAAACTTGCTTGGATCTCTGATCTCTTCTACAGTGCAGTGAAAGCAACACTAAACCTAAGAGATCTGGGACTCAATCCTGCAAGGTGCTGGGACTTTTCCAAGGTGCTGAGTCCCCTCTACCCCCATTCAAGGCAGTGGGAGCTGAGGGTTCTCAGCATCTCAGAGAGGGTACATTTTGGAAAAGCCAGAACATATCTTGTCTCTTGGCCTTTGGTTTTTGTCCTCTCTTAAATGTTCCCTGTAGGACACCTTGGACAACTCTATTCCAGGTCCGCCTCTGCTGACCTGTGTGAGAGCTCAGAGATGGAAGCAGCTGCTCTCGCCACGCCAAGCCAAGATGTTGTTCTCCGCATTAAAAAGAGGGCAAAAGCCCTCACTCTGAAACAAGAGGAGATAAACAAAGCTGCTGGAATATTTAATGGGTTCATTGACCCATTCATTAGATACCTGAAGGAGCGTCCAGAGAGGCCCTACTTTAAGGAGGTGACCAAGCTGACCACAGGCAGCTACTATGAGTTTGTGAAAGTGAGTAACTCTCTGCTAACTGTCCTAATAGCATCATGAATTGGGATCACAATGCTGTCATTTTATCCAGCAGGACTAACACAAGGAGAGACAGGTCTAGCATTCAGTCTGGGAATTCACTGCTTTTTGGCTGATATGGCCAGATCCTGCCCTCAGCTATGCCCATTTATCCAAGGTTTTTCTATACTGCCTAACATTGTGGTATTTTTAATATAGCAACCTTCACCACAGCATGTTTTATATATTGTCTGTCACTGTGGTGATTTTAAGGGATTGCAAGGGTATAACTGTATTTGCCCATACTTATAGCTTTCTATCCAGTTTCCTAAGAGTAAGAATCTGATACTCTTACTCACTTTGAGTAGCACTTTAATCCTCAAGTAGTCTCTTTGATCAGTGAATAGTCAATGGGACCACTACTGGAGTAATTTATCATGGTGAGTTAGAGTAGTAGAATCTGGTCCTAAGTAGTGAATTCAGTTCACTGTCCAGATGCTTTATAGTGCTTGTGCTGTATTGGGGTCAGTTTATATTAATATTTCATTCATATTCATAAGCCTGAGGATCTAGCTCTCTATATACGGAGCTATACACACAGACAAAGAAGAATCACTTTATCTACTGCCCAAGAGCAGCCTCCTACCGGGCATAGGTGGCAGCTGTTTAACTGCCCCCAACTGTATTACATAGAAATAGTGTAGAAGTGAAGAAAAGCTATATCCATAAGCACAGGGAGACTTTAGAGCTACAGTTGTAATTAGCACGATTGGGATTAGGCCAGGATATCATGTCAAATGTCTTTAACTCTTGCGAAAAGTGACATGGGACCTTTAATGACCACATTTGTTCAGGGCTGAAATGGCAAGTCTAGCAGCATGGTGACCCACATGCCACATTAAAGCAATGGTTTAGTGCTAACTTGGAGGAGAATCACTTATTGAATCACCAATATCAGCTCCTGCATTCTGGTGACCAATAGGTGACTTAAAGCTGCCTTAGCTGGGCAGCTGAGGATTCTCCGAGCGTGAGGGACTCTTTGGCTGGTACAGAGCCAGTGTAGCCATCTCTATGCCACCCACCCCACCCTATAAGGGGGCATCTCAGAAATATGCTGGAGTAGAAGGGGTGGATGGGGATGTGGCCAGAGTTCATGGTGCTTTGGCAGTCTCCACTGGCATAACAGCTCCTAGGGAGCTGTTGCAAACCAGCCTAACGTTGAGCTGCTAACTTCTGCAGGGGGCTGAACTGGCCCCTGGCAGCCCCCAGGATCGGTACAGCAAAAGGTGCCGCACCTCAGGCCAGTATTTCTTATGGATAAGTTGACCAGCACTATCTACAGCCTTCCCTGATACGTTCTGTGGAAAAGCTCAGGAAGCTAATGTGAAATAGTGGGGACAGCCCAATCTGCCACAACAGCAAATGAGCGGCCAGGATTCTGTCCTCCCTATAAGGCTGCTGCTTGCACAGTTATTCAGTTGCACCGCCTCTAATGATGAAACCTTTCCTATAGATTGATCACCCAGATGAGTTTGACGTGATGCTGGCTCTGCCAGTTCGAAGCTATATGTACACGGAGGTGGATGACTGGAATGGGCTCTACTACAAAGTTACTTTACTGAGGCAGTCCCGGAGCTTCCCCACACCTTTCCTGCTGGAGGATGGGAATACCATGTCGCCTGTGAAAGTCCTGGATGAATTCAGGAAACATGTCAGTCAGTTCATCACATCATCCTATGAAGGTAAGCAAGTGCCTTTGACTGCCAGTTTCCAGATATTCCTGATCAACCTTTTCAGCATGTGGGCTGTGAGCAACTTTGCCTGCCATTAATATTATTAAGTAGATAGAATTGTGAATGAATGTAGTGGGGATGGAAAGTATGGGATAGAAAGCACTGCCTTGAGCCATGCAGTGGGTAAACTTCACCTGCAAAGCCACCTATTCCACTATCCGATGTCTAGTCAAGCAAATGTGATATTGTTTTTGATGAGAGTACCAGTTTGGTTGACAAGGGTAACTGTATTGACGTAATATGCTTAGACTTCTTAAAGAATTTGATTTAGTACTTCCTGATATTCTGATTAAAATTCAGCACTACACAAAATTAATATAGCACATAATAAATCAATTAAAAACTGGCTAATTGATGGATTTCAAAAAGTTATTCTAAATGGGGAATCATCATCCAAAAAGTCGTTTTAGTGGGGTTCCCCAGGGACCTGTCATTGGCCCAATATTATTTATAAATTATTTGGAAGAAAATATAAAATCATTGCTTGTAAAATTTCCAGATGACACAAACATTGCTGGAGCAGTAAACCATGCTCAGGCCAGATCAGTTATACAGAGCAATCTCGATCACTTTGTATGGTGGGATTCCTTGACCAACGTGCATTTTAATAAAGCCGAATGCAAGGTCATATAGACCTTGGAACAAAGAATGTAGGTTACACGTATAGGATGGGGTACTCTATCCTCGCAAGCTGTGACCTGGAAAAGGATTTAGGAATCCTGGTAGATAACCAGTTAAACGAACTCCCAGTGTGATGCTGTGGCTAAAAGGACTAATGTGATTCTTGGATGTATAAGCAGGGGAATATTGCATAGGAATAGAGAAGTAAATTCTATCATTCTATATAGTGATGTGCTCTAACAGACTCTCGGATAAGAGCATTAAATACATTAATGAGTCGGGAGTTGAACGTAGATCTCTGGAGGTGATTAGAGAACTAAAGCACTGCACTGCATGGGCCTATTCAAGTGACTCTGTGAATATTACAGATCTTCATCATCCTGAGGAAAGTTGTGGCTTTCATAGTCTAGAAATCCCTTGGTGGGTTTGTATAGATGTGGTTGCTGGATATTGAATTGGAGATTCTAAAATCAATCAGTTCTGCTTGATATCCTCTGTTTTTGAGCTCCACAGTCTAATTCTGTGTTTGCCTATTGGCTCCCCAGTGCCTTCCCCAGGGTGGAAAATGAAGCTAAGCAGGAAGAAACAGAACAGCCCAGCAACGACTGTTGTGATGCTGGATGACAAAGGTGGCGAGGTCGTGTCTATTGATCTCGTTCCTGCTTTGGAAATCTCACCCCCCTGGCCTGATTCATGTAGGGTAGGGCAGGATGTTGAAAAATGGCTGGGGAAGAAAACCAAGCTGAGGAATAACCCATTTTATTTTGTTGCCAAGCAGCCACGTGGGCACGATGACAAAGGTAATTTAATACCTTTCCTAACAAACTCTATCCACCTCAGCAGACTTCTCTGTTACGATGCTGATATTGAGATAGAATTTACAACTTTTCTGCTTATGGGAGGGATTCAATAAACTACAGAACCAAAATCTGCCCTGGAGCTGGGAGACCTGCCTGGTCCTGCTGTCCACCATAAGGTCTGGAGCCCACTCAGTCTGTGATATTTCCAAGATCTTATTTCAAATCTAAGAAAAATGCTCTCTCTGAGTTATATCAATATTGATAAATTAGAGAGGTTCAGAGAAGAGCTAGGCGAATGATTAAAGTATTAGAAAACAAGTCTTATAGCCACAGGCTCAAGGAGTTCAATCTGTTCAGCTTAACAAAGAGAAGGCTAAGGGGTGTTTCGATTAGAGTCCATAAGTACCTACATGGGGAACAAATATTTAATAATGGGCTCGCATCAGTCTAGCCGAGAAAGGTGTAACATGGAAGGTGAAGCTAGACAAATTCAGACTGGAAATAAAGCATTCATTTTTAACAGTGAAGGTAATTAACCAGTGGAACAATGTACCAAGGGTTGTAATGGATTCTCCATCACTGATCATTTTTTAAATCAAGATTGGATGTTTTCTCTAAAAGATTTGCTCTAGGAATTGTTTTGGTAAAGTTCTATGGCCTGTGTTATGTAGCAGATTAGACTAGATGATCACAATGGTCCCTTCTGGCCTTGGAATCTGTGAATTTGTAAAAGGACATACAGCCAAACCTTCAACACCTTTCTCCTCTCTTCACCCAGTATTTCATACACTCATTTGTTTTTTAAGAAAACAGCAATGATAATTTTAAATTATCCTTAAATACCTTTTCAGTATTTAAGTAGCTTTAATTTGAGGACCTAGATTTAGGGCAATGCCATTGATGTCTACTCACACCTGGAGAGCCTGGCAGTGTGATGACTATGTAATGTTGTTCTACATTGCAGAGGTCTGGAGAATTTCTTTCTCTCATATTGAAAAGGAGATTTTGAATAACCATGGCAACACTAAAACCTGCTGTGAATCTTATCATACCAAGTGCTGCAGGTATGTAAGTCTGGGGATCAAGGGCTAGGTCAGCTGGATGTAGAACACCTGCTCCCTTGCATTAGTACAGGTGGAATCAAAATCCAGACTGGAACAGGGCAAATAATTCATAACAAACTTATTCTACATAAAATAAATAAAATTTTACCTCTTTTTCTGTTCATGAATTGTTCATGGACAGAGTATTATTTTCTCTGGTTTACTTGTTGTTATTTAAAATGATTCCCTGAAAAACATTATTCTGTAGCTGGTTACTGAATTGTTTACTTTGAGTATGTAGTATTCAAAATGCCCCCCCCCCCTTTTTTTTGGTTGGACATACAGGTGGCATAGTGTGATTTACATTCCCAAATTCGGTAAATGTTACCCTAAGATTGAGGGTTCCACTACAAACTCTCCCAAATACAACCTAGAACTCACAAGGCCTGATTGTACTCCCATTAAAATCAATGGAAAGACTCTCATTGACTTTAATGGGAGTTGAGCTGGGCCTCGAGTCAGAGAGGATATTACACATACTTTTGCATCGTCTCTTCCCAGCAAATGTATTTCAGTCTCGCCCTCAGAATGAATGAGGAGTAACGTACTGGATGCAAGTTCTGCTCTCACTTACACCGTTGTGAATCGGAGTAGCACTGAGGTCAGTGTAACCGAGATCAGAATTTGGCCCAGTCTGTTTGAACTGTAGCACAACAGAAATATCTTCAATTAGAAACTTTTTAAATGTCCAATGCTATATTCTGTAAAGCACCAGGTCCCCTGCAAGGTGCTATAATGTGGTTAATCAGGGATAACGATAAATAATCATGATTATGAATACATTTTACTTCTCCCTCTGCTATATATAGGAAAACCTGTATCCGGCTGCTGAAGAGCCTTTTTAAGGACCTGAAGAAAGACTATCCCAGGCAACTAAGTCACCTGTGCTCTTACTATGCAAAGACGTCCTTTCTCCACACTCTGACGCAGTGGAAAGAGGACACGGACTGGAAACCTTCTGACATTGCCTGCTGTTTTCTCAGAGTGCTGGATGACTTCATTCAGCACGTGGAAAACACCAACCTGCCCCATTTTTTTATTCCAAACTGCAACCTGTTCTATAGCTTCCCTCCAAAGGATTTGAAATTCCTGCTAGAGCGCTTACGAGAGCAGAAAGGGAATGGGTTGCAAGCATTTGCAGCTCACGAGGAATAGTTTCTTCCCAGCCATGACTTTGAGTGAGCATGATCTATTGCTATGATTGTTATGGAACCAGCTAGAATTTCTTTCTCTGTGTTGTAATGATTCAGATGCCAGGCTCTGGAGCTCTTCAGCAACAATTTCCAAAAGAAGCCACTGATTTTGAGTGTTTCAGTTTCTGAGTGTCCAGTTTATGGTAATTTGGGGGTCTGATTTTCATAGGTGCTGAGGACTGGCAGCTCCCCATTAACTTCAGTTGCAGTTGAGGGTGTGCAGCATCTCTGAAAATGAGACCCAGAGAGTCCCAAATTGGGTGCTCAAATATAAAACACCAAAACCTAACGGCCACTTTTGAAAAATGCTCCTTAATCCCTCTGTGCCACATTTCCTATTTGTGAAATTGGATAGCAATATCTACCTACCTCATAGGATGTTGAGTGGGCTGGGTTAGACAATATGTGTACAGCAATTTGAAAGTGTAAAATGCTTATAGATAAGTGCTAAGTCTAAATTCACCGATCTGGAAGTGCAAGGATAGGAGACTATTTCAGGTAATTAATCATGAGGTAGAGAATTGTCACAACTCTCCCACCCCCCGAGGAACCTGGTTGCTGATAAGACAATAAATGATTTTAAAACTGTTCTGCAATAAGAGGCTGATGTTTTGTGTGTTTTACCTTCTTGGGGTGATTTGGGCTGCTATTGACATGCACAGAGTTGGTGGCAGTGTCAGTGTCAAGACAAATCATGCCAGTTTTCTTGTGTTTTTTTCTCTCTCTTTGTCTCAGTGAGAGGTTTACACCTGGGCATCTCAGGGAAGGATTCCTATTGCTGCTCATCCTGTCCCCCCAACATTTATACCCAGGCTCTCATACTCCCAACCTCTGCTTGGCCAGTGTGGCTTTGAGGCTGAGATACCAGTCTGAAATCTTGGCAGTTTATAGACATTCTTTCCTGAGTAATCATCTCTGACCTGGCCACATTCCAGTCAGGCTCCCTAAATTCCCTCAATAATTAGACTGGAATAGGCTATGACTCGCCATGTAACCCCTTTTGGGGCTATATTCTGTGAGGCACCTCCTGAGAGCTGCGACAGTGCAGGTGCTGTTCAGAAGAAAAGGCAGAGTTGGCTTGAAGTCACTCTGGCGCGGCTGGATTCTGCCTGTCCTGAGGTCTGGTGCAGCCCCTGTGTAAGCTAGAGTGGTTCTGGGGGATGTTTTAACTTAGATCAGCCTCCCTATGGCTGACCTGAGTGCTACTTCCACTCCCCTTTCACTGCTAGCTCCCAGGATAGGGAGTGGGTTGCAAGGAGGGGATAGTAAAGGGCAATGTGTGCCAGCCCAAAACAGCTGGGATAGCCCTAACATATTCTGGGGTCTATGCCAGCTTCTGGAGCAGCAGCTGGGTAACAGAACACTGGATGTACCTGCTGAATTCTCATTGCATCTTCACTCTAACTTTAAATATGCTCTCCCTTCTGATCCAGCCTTTGCTACTGTTGGGATCTGAATGTACACACTTACATTCTTAAGTTTAATGTCTCCTAGATTCCTCATTAGCTCTGTAAAAACTGTCTCTCTGAGGAACTTGGCTTGAAACAGCCTTTCAGTCAGGAGGTTGGCTGATACAGGGTGCAGCAGCCAATGTTGCCCTTCAAAGTCTCACCTTGGAATGCAGAGGGCATGAATGGGCTTGATGAGAGGAGATCTCTTCTGACTCAGTTCTGAAGAAAAGAAAGCAGACAATGCACTGCTCTTGGAAATGTACTTACTGGAATTGAAGGCAACCAAATTATGAAGCGACTGGGTGGGGCTAATTCCATCTAGTTCCTCCTCCAAAGGACACCCTTTCTCTCAGTCATTTGAGGACTTTGGGTTTCAGGTTTGCTCTGTCTGATATGTTGGAACATGCACGTAGACAGGACCTCAGCCAACAAATTTGTCAAGCAGCATCGTGGCATAGTTAGGGCTTAACGTAAGGAGGATGAAGAACAACTTCCCTTTCTTTGCTAAAAGCAAAAGGAGAGCTCCCCCTCCTCTCCTGACCTGGATGTGCTCTGTCCCTCCTCCTCAGATGATGTGATTAGAGCACTTCCTCTCATTTCAATCTTCATTGACATAACTAAAAGATACATGCACTGGCTTTCTGAATCCCCCAACTTTACCGCATATAGCCTTCTCTCTTAACAGGCTCCTGGTTCATTGTCTGAATGCAACAGCAGCATCTCCTTTAAAGCACCACAGCAGCCACTGCAAAGGGTTTTGAGATGTGTACGGGAACTAAAGCCACCTCCTCAGACACCTGTTTTGGAGGTTGAAATAGCACAAACAGAAGGCTGAGTGGGTTGCTGAGCTGAGAAGGTTAATGGGACGCAGGCAAGCAGGGGAGCTCCAAAGATACCAGTACTGACTCACGGATTTTGGGATATGTGTCTAATTTAGGAGGACAAATTGACAAGTCCCTGATGCCCCCTTACTGGTGGAGTGTCATGTGAAATATTCTGTGTTGCTGTTTAATGTGCAGCACCTTCAGATAGTGAGCACACAGGATTGTGAGGATTCTCTTTTGCTTCCATGTTTCCAATGTGGCCTAACTGATGAAAAGGGTTGGCCAGAAACCAGGACCTCTGGAGTCTAGTCCCTTTTTTGGCTTCTACTTGCTATGTGACGTTGGGCAAATCTCTTAACCTTTCTGTGCCTCCATCTCTCCATAACATGGGGCTAATACAACCTACCTAACAGGAATGCAGTGAATCTTCATTTGTTAATCTGTGCAAAGAGTTCTGAGAGTCTCAAATAACAGGCACTACAGGAATGCTCTGTATTATCATGCATCAAAAGCTTTTCATGCAGTGAAATTGGGATATGGGCAGTTGCTTAAGGTGGAAAAAAAGGAATTTTTGCTTATGGAAACTACCCTCTGCCAAAATTCTGTCTATTTGACATGGCAGAAAATCTTTTGCTTTTGTCAGATCCATGGGAAATGTGATTATTTTTTGCTGGTGATGAGAATTTTTCTTGTAACCAGACAGAGTTCTGTGGATTTTAGAGTGTGTGTGAATCCTTACACTCCTATAACTCACTGCCTGTTAGTACTCACATAGCACTTTAAAGCTTCTGAGAGACAGCAGCCTGGCAAACTTCACACATCTTTCTTTTGCATAATTCCTGCACCAGGCACTGCTCAGCTGAGGATTTCATATGCCACCAGAGGGTGCTGTAACTATGTACTCTAGCCATTCACTCACCCAGGACAGGGTGAGTGATACAGACTGTTTCTTTTATCAGAATTACTTACTTCACAGCTGGCAGCAGCAGGATGGTTTTTAAAGTAAAGCCTGTGCAGGGTGGTGCGGTGCCTTTTAACCCTGTGCGGGGTTTGGTTTGGCTCTGTTAATTTGCATTGGCAGTGGCTGAATCATCACCCTTCTCAGAGCCAGGCAAAGAGGAACTCTGTTTGTCAAACTGTAACAGGCCGTTTATCTAGCATTTTTCGTGCAGCTTAAAGAACTTTATGTGAGACATGGAACACAGATCTAATAGGCTGGATTGCAAGCAGGGAAAATATCACTACCAGCATTCTGTCTACCCTCTCCACAGCCATTCTGCTCTCAATCAAGTGCCGGGCTGGAGAGAGGGATATGAACCAGACAGGGCAGATGTCCACAACTGTATTAGATAGGTTAAGACATACCCATCTCTCCCTCTTCTCCCACAAGGCACTTATTGGCTAATTAATCTAAGGCCTGGTCTACACTAACACCCCAATTCGATCTAAGGTACGCAACTTCAGCTACGTGAATAACGTAGCTGAAGTCGACATACCTTAGTTCGAATTTACCGCGGTTCAGACGCGGTCCACACACGGCAGGCAGGCTCCCCCGTCGACTCCGCGGTACTCCTCTCGCTGACGTGGAGTACCGCAGTCGACGGCGAGCACTTCCTGGTTCGAATTATCGCGTCCACACCAGACGCGATAAATCGAACCCGGAAGTTCGATTGCCAGCCGTCGAACTACCGCGGTAGTGTAGACAAGCCCTAATAAACTATCTGCATTTCTGGGTAGCACGCCACCATGGTGCCTAGGCCTCCTGCTACCCATAGGGTGAGGAGATACCTTCTCTGTGCCAGGGAATATCAGTCGTAACCATAGCACACACAGGCAGAGATATAAGAATTATCTTGAAATTATACAACCCCTTTCTTTCCAAGGATCCCAAAGAACTTTACAGACTGGGAATAGGAAACTGTAAACCCATTGCTGAAATGCAGCCACCTCTCACTGCAACGCAGTAGCTGCTTAGCAATTTGACAGAAGGAAAGGTAGGGAGGGAGAATTTCATTACCCAGAGTGGAATTTTGCCAGACTGATGTCTCTGTTTGTATGCAAATTGCCATGGGAACTTCAAGGGCATATCAAGGTACTTTGCAATACACAGTCTTCTGTTGGGGTGGCACTGGCAGGGCCTCCCAGAGCAGTGGATTGAGGCATTAATACCCCATAGATATGAATGGGGCAGGTCACCTCTCTCAGAGTTATTGTTTCAGACTGTCTGCATACTCAGACAGACACTATTTCATCAGTTTCACATGAGCGGCTGGAGTCCCTAAGCATAGCCCTACAGTGCCTATGTCTTAATCCCTCAGAATCTAAAAAGACTACAAGTGATTGGTTAAAAAGCCTCCTTTTGCCATCACATCTAAAGGCCAGTACCTGAGGCCTTTCTCCCTAGCATACCAGAGTGATGGGCATAGATTAGATTGTTAGCACCTGGATGAGGCACTGGTTCACTACTGGCTTATATGAAAGAGCACTTTCCCCAAAATCATCATCCCCAGATCCTGCAGCTCCTCTGTATTTCCGTGGAGTGCTCCCATTCAAGTACAGTCCAGGCCCATCTCTGTTTAATTTATGAGATCTGACAAGGTCTTCATGCAAAAATTATAGCATGGCTGCAGACTACAGGGTATTGTTTTAGTATCTGAAGTGCCAACTTTCTGACAGCATAATATAGT